AAAAAGAAAAAGAAAAAGAAAAAGAAAAAGAAAAAGAAAAAGAAAAATACATTGGCACATTAAAAACACCAAAAAAAAAAAAAAAAGGCAAAAACTGAGAATTGATTTAGTTCAATACTGGTGCATTTTTGAGAGAGGCAAGACTTAAGAGTCTGGGGGAGTTGGCGGACCTCCCCTCTTTGTACCTCTGCACTGGCCACCTGTGGGTCTCCGAGGACCATGCTGAGTGGCTGCTCTGGGCATAGTGACTATACCTGGCAAAAATCTCAGCTGCACACTCTGGTCCCTAGCATGCAGCTGCTCTAGCCGGGCAGCAGGGCACTGGAAGCCCTGTGAAGGAAGGTTCTGCCCAGAACTCTGTTGGGGGGAGTGTACCTGACACACCACAGTTGCCTGAGGCTGGCAAACCCTCCCAGACTCAGCAAAATTAAAGAGACGGGCTTGCTGAGCTGACAGTGCCCGTTGCTGAATGCCGGAGCCCTGGGAAGAAGCTGGTGGCACTGGCTGTGGAGGGACAGGAGCCCTGGGTGGCTGCTGCCGTTTTGGAATCAAGACATACAAAGGTTTTCGCTGCTGCTCTGGCTGTGAATACAGCTGTGGCGGCGGCGGAGGCGGCGGCGGCGGCGGCTGCTGCTGCTGCTGCTGCTGCTGCTGCTGCTGCTGCTGCTGCTGCTGCTGCTGTGGTTGCTGTGGTTGCAACCATGGCTGCTGCTGCTGCGCTTGTGACTGGGGGTGCAAAATGACAGAGCCAGGTGAAAACCTGACAGTTATCGGAACTGACTTATTATTTTTTACAATTACTTTCACAGATGTATGCACAGAGCGTTGTGGTGCTCTGGAGTGGATGTTGGGCATCTGACTTCTTGGACGCAGAAAGGCTGTACAAGAAGTTTGTGTAGATGTAGATGTAGATGTAGATGTAGATGTAGATGTAGATGTAGGTGTAGGTGTAGGTGTAGGTGTAGGTGTAGATGTTGGGGCACCCGTGGGAAAGCTCAGCACGTGGGATGAACTGGTCATCAAAACAGGGCCCCTCTGTGCTTGGCCAAACAAACTGATGACATTTTGGCCAGTGCCACTGCTGGGGCCCTGGGGAGCTGGACTACTCTCTGACAAGCTGACAGAGGGTTGAACTGCTGGAGGACGGATGTTAATACTGCTCACTCTCCAAAAGGTTTGTGGAGCCGGGCTGGCTGATGTGGGGAAAGAAGCAAGTCTTGGAAGCTTCCTACCTCTGACTGCTACAGGGGGAGGATTGCCTGCTGAAGAACCCTGTCCTGAAGTGGAAGGCTGTGTGAACAGTGGAGCTGGGGCCTTAATTCTCCTCTCTATGCTTGAAGAAGGCACTAAATGGGATGTAGCCTCCTTTCCTAGGGAGGGCTGACCAACAGAGATGGAGTCAGTGGGCCCCTGCGGCATTTTGCCTAGACACTCAGCCTTGTTCCGGACAGACCCTTGGCGCACATCCAAAGGTTTTACCTTCCTAGACTCAATCTTGTCTCCAGCTGGAGAACCAAGCAAACATTTAGGTGCGGCAACTTGGGGAAGATACATCTGGCTATCACGTCTGCCCTCTATTGGTTTTACTTCAGTAGAGAAAAATGGCTCACTAAGGGTCTGTGTCATACTTGTCTTTGTTTCCCGTGGCTGACTGCCCCCTTCACACTCAAACACATAACCATGTTTTATCTTAGAAGTTGAGCAGGCTGCTGATTCTGAGTAATAACGGGGCACAAACGGCTTCCCTCCAGCATATTTATCCACATCCACTTCTGCTGGGGCCACCAGTCCACAGGATCTCTTCTTCCACGTTTCTACACACTTTCCTGCTTCAGTAATATTCGGATCATACCGGTCACCTAGTCTGATGCCTGCTCGTTTTCTCCAAGCCATCACTGTTGCAATATTCGGAGGAGTTGGACGTATATACCGTTCTTCGTCCTGTTCTACGTAGGGCCACCCCTGAGTCATGTAGCAGTGTCTCATGGAGTCTGTCATCATCTTCTGCTCATTAAACAGCAGTTTGTTGGCTGTGCAGGTGACAGCAACAGAGGGGTCCAGACACAGTGGCTCTGCTGTAGCTAAGATCAGTTGCCTCTCAAGTTCAAGTTTCTCTTCCTCAGTCCACTGACGGTTATCACTTGTTATGGACTCCACATCACTTACTAGAGACTGCATCGTGGGACGCAATAGAACATGCCGTGTTTGGTAGGCAGCAGAAGACTCAGCGGGTGACACAGCGGGCTCTTCACAAAGCTCCCCAGGAGGGCAGGCGTTGTCTCTGCACCGTCTGTAGTCTCGGATTTCTGCTATGACACAGCCATGGTGAAAAACATTCACAGGAGACTTTTCCAGGATATCAATCAGAAGAGAAGGTAACTCTTCGGCATCCAAATATTCGAGCAGTTTCTTTCCGACATAAGGCACTGGAAAGGGCTCTACAAGGACTCCATGTTTGTCCTTGAGCATGAGAGAATAGCCCTGATTTTCAGGGTACAGGTTGACCACTAAACAGGGCAACGACTCTTTCTTCATCAGCTTCTCCAGCAAGTTGACATTGCTTCTGAGGCCCTCTACCTCTGGCTCTTTTCCACATTCCTCAACATAAATGTCATAGAGCTTTTCATGAAGAGATTTCTCCCCACTAGGCGTGGGTCTCAAAGGAGGGGGGTGCTGCTGGACAGTCTCAATAATATCATCTGTCCGCTCCAAAGCATCCGCAAAAGTTTGTTCCATCGTAATAGCCCCTTAAAAACAAAAACAAAAACAAAAAAACACCCCACATTGAGAAAAAGGTGTGGAAATCCCGGCCGCTGTGTCCCTGTCGGTTTCAACTCTGCCATAACCACAATTTAATGCGGCCACCAAGAAGGCCCGCCCGCCCCGCACCGTGAGCCGTCCAGCCTCAAAGCCACGGGGGGCGGGGGGGGGACCCCCCGCAGGCCGCTAGGCCGGAGAACCTTAGCTCGAGGCCTGAGGCCAGTACACGCCGAATGGCGGCCGGGTACATGGCGGCCGGTGGACGCCACCCCGCCACCCCGCCACCCCGCCACCCTGGGGTGCTTTAAAACAAAACGAAACAAAAAACCAACGAAACCGACGACGCTTAGTTCTTAAGAATTTGTAAAGAAAAGCTGTACCTTTCGGAGTAACTGACTCCGTCCGCCCTGAGTCTTCCAAGGTGGAAGCCAACGGCCGGCTGAGCTGGCGCCACTCCGGAGGAGGCCGTGTGTGCGCGCGCAGTCCCAGGCGTCAATTTCCTCACAAAGCAGGGTCACACTTCCTTTCCGGAGGGAGGAGGGGGGCGACGCTTCCGGTGGAGATATCCGCCCCGAGCCCCACGCCTACGGATACGCGAGCAACAAATACTGACGACTTTTCAGTTAAGATTTCAATAGCTGCCGATTTTGACGGGAATGTGACGGCTCGGGCAGTTACGAAGTCTCCGTAGGCCCTCCGTCAAGAACGGAGCTATAGCAGGTGGCGGTGACGCACACCATTAACCCCCACACGCCGGAAGCAGAGGCAGGTAGCTCTCTGTGAGTTCGAGGGCAGCCTGGTCTACAGAGAAACTTCCAGAACAGCCAGGGCTACATAGTGAGTCTCTGTCTAAAATAAATGAAATGAAATGAAATGAAATGAAATGAAATGAAATGAAATGAAATGAAATGAAATGAAATGAAATGAAATGAAATGAAATGAAATGAAA